TCCATCAACCAATATCTTTTCCGCTTAATTAACTTCTGTATTTTGTTAACATATATAGTAATTCGTGATGCAAAATGATCACCAAACAAATCCCTAACTATGTCATCATTCGCTCTTATTCCACATGTATTAAAACATACTGATAATCTAACCTTCCTCCATGTATGTGGGTAGGCTCATGATTCTCCAATATTTCAATATCATCAAACTCCTCCAAGAAGTGTAACCATCTCCTTCCATTAATGTTGCTGGGTCCCATAGTACCCAGGACTTCGTGTCTAGCGTTAATATCACCAACCATAACACAAGCATCATTAAATAGCTACTCAGGCATGTCATCAATATCCAAACTTTGAGGATGTACTTAGATGCTAACAGTACATATAGACCTTCCTTGGACGAAGATTTTAACACACAAACTTTCAACCCCATTCTGCTTGTCAGCCATTACCAATTCAACCGGTACATTTTTCCGAACATAATTAACCGACCTCTTATATTATTTCTATTATTAGCTGGTAAACAGAAACATTGATAATCACGTAAATTCATCACATTACCATCCTCCGTGCCCGTCTCCGTGCACATCTGTGGCCCTAGGACGTAAGTTATTTACATTCCATGACAGTATACTTAAACTAGTGTCCTCACTATTAACAACAGAAACTAACCTTATTCTCTCTTTCACAAACTGTTCCATTACTTCTTTCACTCGAGCTAATACCTTACCTCGGGTTTGTCACTCCCACTTGTCAGATTATACTGTATTATTTTCATCCTTCTTCCCTTTTAGGTCAACATCCACATTTCTATGTTCACAAAAATGGTCAATTACCTTCTGGTTGTCCTCTACATTTTTTCTAAGCATCTGAATTTCTTACCTGCGTTGAACTACTACACCATACACATCACCAAACTTGTCAATTACTTTCTCTTCTGGAACAACTTTTGGTGCAGCTCCTGTACCATTTACTGTTACCTTCAACGTGTCACTCTGTTCATCCTCTTCTTCCACACGTTCTCAGTTGAAGGTAGAGTTGTCTCCTGCAACTCCTCGTCCTTCCTCCTTTTCTCGCTGTTGCACCTCCCACATGCTCTGCCACCGCGCACCGCATTATGAGTGCCGCCACAATTGCAACAGCACGACACAACATGCTGCCCAGATTTGATTAGATTTCCACATTCTATTGAATTATTTTTCCACAGTAACGACAACGACATTCACTTTGACATATCCAGGCCATATGGCCCCACCTGCTGCACAAAACAGGTTCTTCAATAAACTTTGCAATCCTCCTATATCCTATTCCAGAAATGAATATCTTCTCTGGAACGTCTCCCTTCATCAAGGCTACCACTTGGTTCTTCTCACCACAGATTTCGTGTCGCTTTGCCCTGACGACTCATGTATCGTCAAGAAGAAAATCAGGATCCAGTATAGTCGGGTACATGAAGACGATCACCTTGGTGTGTTGCTGTGTCATCGTCATTATCACCTCCTTAAATCCTGTCGTCGTCAAAAACTTTACCGCCTCATCCCCAGCTACAGTCAGATAGGAATTATAACGACCTTCCTTAAGCAGGGGTTAAAACTGTTAATGCTCTCTTCCCAGTGTAGCAGCCAACAACAACCGCTCATAGAATGAAGTGTGAATCACTTGGGAGGTTCAACCTCCTCCTACCTGAGCTGTTTCCACCATCCGGGTTGCTCGACACATTGGTACTTTTACGATGATCCATTTAACTAACCTGCTGTGTTTTATTCCCAGTTGATTTATTTCTGCTTTCTTCTGTGTGTCGTCCTTTTCTTCCTATCATTCATGATCTCATCACTGTCACTTCCTTCACCTTTCTTCGCCAACTCTCGCCTCCTCTTCTTTTCTTTCTTACTAATCACCTCTTGAAAACTGTCTGTCACCTCCAGTGTTGTTGATTGCAGATCATCTGCTTCCGATTCGCTACTTGAAAGCCGCAGGTCGTCTTCTATGCTGTTCTTCTCAAGCCAAAGTCTTCACAAGTTTCTGCCCACCACTTGCCCCAGGCGTGGTGCAAAACTCAGGCAGCCAGAGAAAATCAGCAGTGTTGTCGCAGAGTACAAGGCTGACACGTCCGACCAGTACGGCCAGCGTTCAGAGAATGACTAACATAGCAAGAAAAGTACTAGAAAGAATCATACTCGATGACGTGATGGACCATCAGGAGTGGAACAGCTTCGTGAAGTGATACCATCGCTAGCTTATACCCTGGCAGTGGCTCCTACTTGACCCAGGTGCTGGATGCGTGGATAAAGTAATGTATGGTCAGGTGAAAACAGGTGTATATGTATATGCTTCAACACGCATCCTGTTCAAGTCCAGCGGTCATGAGTAATAATATTGATGGTTACTTACACGGGAGACAACCATCGTTGGATTTACAGAACACAACAGTGTGTTTGGTCAAATTGCGAACTTAAGTGAAAATAACAAATAATTTATTTAATTTAGAGAAAATATTATTGTTTGTTAATTACTGGACTAAGACCAACCACCATTGTCTACCTCCTCCTAATGAGTTAAGTTAGGTTAGGTTATGGTCTACAGCACTGAGTACCAATACTCAAGTCATCATCTTTCCGTTACCAATTTCCAGGTAAGAAATTATAAGATAAAAAGTTAACGTGAAAATCACCTCCACAACCTGCGTACTGAAGGCGGGTAAACACATTTGTCTCCCTACCTTCTCGTGTCACCATCTAGTCGTTCCCTCTGTTATATTTCCTTTGTTCGTTTATCCTCTTCTCTTCTGTCAATCTCTCCATCATTTTCTTTGTAGTTTTCTTCCCTCGATCTTTCCCTCCCTGCACTATCTCTCTCATATAGGCTCTGTTACTCAGCAGTGCTCAATCACAGTCCGGTAAATTCACCACTATTGACATCTGCCATAGTACAGTTCCTTCAGTCCGTTTGTCTTGTTAATCTCTTGTTGTTTACTCTGACAACCAACAACCCCCCAACCCCCCCTCACACCCCCTCTCAACCCCACAAGCAATCGAGATATAGATAAGGTAATCAGGGGACCTTGATACATACACAGTATACATACATACATACACATTATATAACCATACACAGTTCACATACAGTATAAATACATACAGCCACCTCTGGTTGCCACCAGGTAAATAATTATCTCAGTGAACGAAACATTCTGTTCTGCGGATAAATTTCTAAAATATGTCACCAGTTGTTCGGTTCTTCATCATCAACGCACTGCTTATTATTAACTACCTAGAAAAAATTATTATCTATATGAATTTCACCTTAAGATTAACCGCTATAACCTTACCTAACCAAACCTAACCTAACCTATCCTCCCAGCTTGCGTTACTGGATAAACCATCAGATGAAATAAGTAGTTATCTTCAGCGTATAGAAAGAAAAACAAACTCCTGCTCTATAGTTATTTCAACTCACTTCTGTGAAGAGGAGTAAGTGATGGTGTGCGAGATGACGGTGTAACAGCGAGGTAAGACTGACTGCCTGTGCGTGTCAGGAAGGGGTGCCGAACAGGGGTGGACTGCCACGGTGTTGGTGGGTGAATGGTGCGCCTCACTCTGTCTCTCTCAGCCTTTAAACTTATCTAGAGATAATGATTAGTCATACTATTTATAATAGATGATGTTACGTTAACTTTTCCTTGTGTTGAGTTCTCGATTATTATAACTGGTTAATTTCAGACATCGGTGAAGCAAAACTAAAAAGTAGAACTAATATAATTAATATAAACTATTTACAATACATACAAGAAACAATGACAATAAAATATCTAAATAAGAAGTTTGTTCAGTTGGAGAATTTAGCCGTTTACAAAACAACACTATTATACCTACAGTTATATCATTCAAAATCTACAGTAGTTAACATAGCCAGAGCAAGAACAATTATAACATGAGTGAAGACAAAGGAATAAATAAATGAAATTGAATTGAAGTGAAGACAGGTCACACAATACAAATAACAATGTACTCATCACTATGCAGGAGAGGGTGAGACTCACAGCTGGCAACCATACTGTCCACAAGCTGACTGACTGTTCTCGTTACTTCTCGGGTAGTTAACCCAACACCAAACCTCAAATAAATGAGTCGAAGCATTAAGACAGTTCAGTGTGGCGACTCTTGGCGGTCCTTCGTAATTCTCACCACCAATAGATGGTGACTGTCGTAACAGTGATGATGATGATACAGGTTACAGTACACCATAAGACAGGTTACAGTGCACCATAAAGTAGGTTACAGTGCATCATAAGGCAGGTTACAGTGCACCATAAGACAGGTTACAGTGCACCATGAAGTAGGTTACAGTACACCATAAGGCAGGTTACAGTACACCATGAAGTAGGTTACAGTGCACCATAAGGCAGGTTACAGTGCACCATGAAGTAGGTTACAGTGCACCATGAAGTAGGTTACAGTGTACCATGAAGTAGGTTACAGTGCACCATGAAGTAGGTTACAGTGCATCATAAGGCAGGTTACAGTGCACCATAAGGCAGGTTACAGTACACCATAAGGCAGGTTACAGTACACCATGAAGTAGGTTACAGTGCACCATAAGGCAGGTTACAGTGCACCATAAGGTCGGTTTCAGTACACCACAAGTCAGGTTACAGTGCACCATGAAGTAGGTTACAGTGCATCATAAGTCAGGTTACAGTACACCATAAGATAGGTTACAGTACACATAAGGCCGGGCTAAACAAAGGGGACATTACAAAGGTACTCAAACTATCCAACCAGGAGCGAACCCGTAACAATGGTTTTAAATAAGACAAATTAAGATTTAGGCGCGAAGTAGGTAAACACTGGTTTGGAAACAGAGTAGTGGATGAATGGAACAAGTTACCAAATATCATCATTAACTCGAATACGCTGGATAGCTTCAAACATAGGTTGGATGCTTATATGAGCATTGAGCAATAGGGGTTGGGTGTAAATGGGACTGCCCAGTATGGGCCAATAGGCCCGCTGCAGTTTCCTCCATTCTTATGTTCTTAGGTTACAGTACAGTACACCATAAGGCAGGTTACAGTACACCATAAGGCAGGTTACAGTACACCATAAGGCAGGTTACAGTACACTATAAGGTAGGTTACAGTACACTATAAGGCAGGTTACAGTACACCATAAGGCAGGTTACAGTACACCATAAGGCAGGTTACAGTGCACTATAATGCAAGTTACAGTACACCATATGGCAGGTTACAGTACACCATAAGGCAGGTTACAGTACACTATAATGCGGGTTACAGTACACCATAAGGTAAGTTACAGTATACCATAAGGCAGGTTAGAGTACACTATAAGGCAGGTTACAGTACACCATAAGGTAGGTTACAGTACACTATAATGCAGATTACAGTACACCATATGGCAGGTCACAGTACACCATAAGGCAGGTTACAGTACACTATAAGGCAGGTTACAGTGCACTATAAGGCAGGTTACAGTACACCATAAGGCAGGTTACAGTACACCATAAGGGAGGTTACGGTACACCATGAGGTAGGTTACAGTACACCATAAGGTAGGTTACAGTACACCATAAAGCAGATTACAGTACACTATAAGGTAGGTTACAGTACACTATAAGGCCGGTTACAGTACACCATAAGGCAGGTTACAGTACACCATAAGGCAAGTTACAGCACACTATAAGGTAGGTTACAGTACACTATAAGGCAGGTTACAGTACACCATAAGGTAGGTTACAGTACACCATAAGGTAGGTTACAGTACACCATGAGGCAGGTTACAGGATACCATAAGGTAGGTTACAGTACACCATAAGGTAGGTTACAGTACACCATAAGGCACGTTACAGCACACTATAAGGTAGGTTACAGTACACTATAAGGCAGGTTACAGTACACCATAAGGCAGGTTACAGCACACTATAAGGTAGGTTACAGTACACTATAAGGCAGGTTACAGTACACCATAAGGTAGGTTACAGTACACCATGAGGCAGGTTACAGTACACCATAAGGTAGGTTACAGTACACCATGAGGCAGGTTACATGATACCATAAGGTAGGTTACAGTACACCATAAGGTAGGTTACAGTACACCATGAAGTAGGTTACAGGACACCATAAGGCAGGTTACAGTGCACCAAAAGGTAGGTTACAGTACACCATGAAGCAGGTTACAGGACACCATAAGGCAGGTTACAGTGCACCATAACGTGAGTCAGCTCACTGGCTCTTATGATAAACTACTTCTCTACATATGTTCATTAATTTCCACAATGTTAATACACCAATTTATTAGCAACATACCTCACTGTGTATATAAGAAGCCATTAGTTAACATATAAAGTAGGATTTATTTTTAGTAAAAGCATTTAATTTACTTTTAGTTAATAAAACATTGAAAAATGCTGGAGTCAATAAGATTTTATTGGTGTATGATGCTACTTTTTCCGGCTACATCATTATCTCGTGTTGATGACCAGCAACACTGAAGTACATAGTATCTTTAGTTACGCTTCACCTCACTTACTTTCCTCCATGTTGTTCCTGCTGCTCTGTAAGTTCTTCCTATTTGTTCTGGTTTCATCCATAACAAACAAATCCAGAATACGACTCACGATCTCCATTTACACACCAAAGTTTCAGCGTCTCCTTCTAGCGTCAAAAAATTCCAGTTTGCCTTAGACTTTGACTATGATATCCAGCTGGCGAGAGTGTTGGAAGCCTGAGCGTGTTGGAGTGAACCAGGCACAGATGATGGTAAATGGCCACGGGCAGGAGGTTACCCAAGACGACTTTGGCGGCGTAAGCAAGTTGTAGTAGTGAGCAAAGGTAGACGGGGAAGTAACCAGCGCCTCCCCCCTCCTACCTACACTGGCTGTGGATGATGATGTGTGTTAGTATTTAATATCTTGTTTTAGTATGTCAAATATATGGTAACACACACACACACACACACTACTACTACTTTGCTGTCACGCGGAATCGAGTATGATGATCATCCAACCAGGACCGGCCTCAGGAGGTGCGGGGCCCAATTGGGAACAATTTTGGTGGGCCCCATATATGTCATAAAAAATTCAGCAGACATCACATTATTACTGTCAAAAGTAACAAACTTGACTTGTATCATATAATTTTTGTAAGAGCAGGGTATCCATCTAATATGCCTATATTGGTAGGTCTTAATTACCTAGATTTTATGTATGTAAAACAGCGGTCGGGGAACTTTTTGAGTATTACCCACAAATTTATTTGGGAAAAATGGAATTACCTCTAGATTTGAACAAAAACACGTCTGTTTACACATGTGTCATTTATTTATTCATTTATTTAAAATAATACTCGTACTGTCTGTAAATATGACTGAATAAAGCAGAAAACATAAAACACCTGCCTATCACTTCTTATGAAAAGCCGTAACTGAAGGAATGCTTGAGAAAATTAATTCATCTTCATTATCACACATAATGATAAACGATCATCTTTTACCTGGTGTTTTATGAACATTTTGTACTCCTCTTTACAGTAATCTTCCGAAAATCAGTGACTTCATATTTCAGATATATGGTTTATATCTTGGTCACTAAAACTTACCTCATTTATGGGTCCTTGACACAAAATTAATCAGCTAGTAGTAAGATCCAGTCAGCTGTGTTTACACTCGACGGAAGGGAAACTCACACCATGAGATGGAAACAAACGTAAATCTGACGACCTCTAGAAACTTTAGTCAGTCACCATGCCAAAGAAAACGTTTTTTAACAATGCGGAGTAAACTCGAGGAAACTGAGGCCCTCATGTCGCATGTATTACCAAACTTTATAGATTTACCCCATTTGGGGTAATTTACCCCTATCCCCCGACCCCTTTTTGTAAAACTTAAATACTTGAGTTTGAATATAGGCCGACTATATATTTTGCAACAGAGATGTGCATGTGCATAAAGATGTAATATACTAATTTAATCACATGCTCCTGTTAAAAGAAAATACTATAAGTGTATAGATATTTAAAAGCTGTTACTCGTTTATTTACATATTTGTCTTTTTAATTTTTTTCAGAGAAATGATTTTTAATGCTGTTCTGTAATTAACATATTATTTAATTCAGGTACAGTAAAAAAAATCAAACATAAACAGTATAAATAAACACTACCGACTTTGTACAAATTAATAACAATATTATAATAATTGCTGCTCTCTGTAGAACCTGCAATGTGGTGTTACATATATATTGCTATGTGTTGTGTGTACTTGACGAGCCGAGAGTAGATTACTCTAGCGCGGGGCCCCCTTAGGCGCGGGGCCCCCTTAGGCGCGGGGCCCCCTTAGGCGCGGGGCCCCCTTAGGCGCGGGGCCCAATTGGCTTAAGGCCGGCCCTGCCAGCTAAGATGAAATGATATGAATTATTAAGGACGTTACTTTGTTGGTGAGCTTTGAGGTGACTCAAGAGGATGTTGCGGGACCGGCAGGGTCGTCCACAGATGTTGCACGTGTGGAGGGCTACATCTAGTGCGGGAGGGGCAGTGGCAGCGTCTTTCCGGGCGTTGGCCTTTGTCTGCCTCGGTATACAGTCGGTCTAACTAGAAAATATTGACACCTTGTCGTGTGGTGCTCCTACAAGCGTTACGGTGTGGGGTAATCATCTCCCAGGTGAGGGGGTCGATTTGGCACTTTTTCAGGGTTTGTCTTAAGACTATCCTTATACCTTGTCAATTGCCCGCCGGCGTTACGTTTACTATTCGTTAGGTGACTAAAGTAACTGTTTTGGCAGTCTACTGTCGTCTATGCGAGTAACATGGCCAGCCCAACGTAGTTGTTCATGGATAATGGTAGCCTCGATGCCCCTACAGTTGGTGTCAGCAAGAATACTGGCATTTGTTTTCTTGTCTTCCCAGCGAACTCTGAGGATGGAACGTAGACAACGTTGGTGAAAGTTTTCAAGTTCCTTGAGGTGCCTCCTGTATGTGACCCATGACTCGCTGCCATATAGCAGGGTGGGGAGAACCACAGCTCGATATACGTGCAACTTTGCAGATAATTTCAGCTCCCTACAACTGAAGACACTATTTCGGAGTCTGCCAAAGGCTTGAGAAGCACATCTGATCCGATGCTGAATCTCTTCATCGATGTCTGCGGTGGTGGACAGGTGGGAGCCGAGATACCGAAAGTGGGCAATCCTGTGTGTAACTACACACACACAATTTTTTTTACAGGGAATAGCCCACCCGGGCACAGGTCACCGACCCACAACGGGGCCTACGGGGTGAATAAATAAGAGTAAAAAGAAATGAAAATAGAAAAGGAAAAGATTATATTAATCTACACCACGAACGGATTTACCACACCATGATATACCACACCATGATATAAGAGATATACCACACCATGATATACCACACCATGATATAAGAGATATACCACACCATGATATACCACACCATGATATAAGAGATATACCACACCATGATATAAGAGATATACCACACCATGATATAAGAGACCTACCACACCATGATATACCACACCATGATATAAGAGATATACCACACCATGATATAAGAGATATACCACACCATGATATAAGAGATATACCACACCATGATATAAGAGATATACCACACCATGATATAAGAGACATACCACACCATGATATAAGAGATATACCACACCATGATATAAGAGATATACCACACCATGATATAAGAGATATACCACACCATGATATACCCACCTAGATACAAGAGATATACCACACCATGATATAAGAGATATACCACACCATGATATAAGAGATATACCACACCATGATATAAGAGATATACCACACCATGATATACCCACCTAGATACAAGAGATATACCACACCATGATATACCCTCCATGATACAAGATATATATCATTAAGAGGCAGTAATTGTGTCGTTTACTTCACATACAACAGGGGATCAGGCCTCTATACCGTGTGAGAGGACTAGCTAAACAATAGTAAGGTTAAGATGACGACCCGAGGATAAGTTAAGAAGATAAATAAACTAAAGAAGACAAAATCCCCAGGGCCGGATGAAATTTTACCTCTAGTTTTAAAAGAGTGTAAGGAACAGATTAGCGGACCCCTCGTAAATTTATTTATAAAATCATTAGACACGGGAGTTGTGCCAGACTTGTGGGAACGGGCAAATGTAGTACCCATATTCAAAAAGGGAGACAGAGCATCAGCGTCAAATTACCGGCCGATCAGTTTGACGTCAGTAGTGGGGAAATTTCTTGAATCAATTATAGCAAATAGCATCCGATCGCATCTAGAGAAAAGCAAATTAATCTACGACTCTCAACATGGGTTTACAAAGGGAAAATCTTGTCTAACAAATCTGCTAACGTTTTTTAGGAAAGTCTTCGAGGTAGTAGATAATGACGAAAATTACGATGTTATTTACTTAGACTTTAGCAAAGCTCATGGTATCGAGGGGAAAGTTTTAAATTGGATAAAATCATGGCTCACCGATAGAACACAAAGGGTCAGCGTAGATGGTGTAAAATCCGAGTGGGGCCGTGTAACCAGTGAGGTTCTCCAGGGGTCAGTACTAGGCCCACACTTGTTCATAATGTACAAAAACGATCTAGATACTGGGATCAGCAGTGACATAAGCAAATTTGCGGATGACACCAAAATAGGGCGGCAGATTAATTCAGGGCAGGATGCAAATGCACTAGAGGAAGATTTAAATAAACTGCAGGAGTGGTCAGAAAAATGGCAAATGAAATTCAACACCAGCAAGTGCAGCGTATTTAATATTGGAAGAACAAATACTGTCAATGTATACAGCCTTAACAACATCAACCTAGAGAAGTCGACTTGTGAAAGAGACTTAGGGGTACTTGTAAGCCCGGACCAACGGCCTAGAAAACAGTGCTTTAATGTTCGAAATAAAGCAAACAGAGTATTAGGTTTTATATCTAGAAGTATAAGTAATAAGAGTGCAGAGGTCTTATTGCAACTATATCTTGCGCTAGTCAGGCCGCACCTCGATTATGCGGTTCAGTTCTGGTGCTCTTATTATAAAATGGATATCAATTCACTAGAGTCGGAGCAGCGAAGAATAACGAAAATGATTCCGGGACTTAGAAACCTTCCATATCAAGATAGGTTAAAGAAACTAAACTTGCATTAGCTAGAAAGACGAAGAGTGTAGGGAGATATGATAGAAATATTTAAATGGGTGAAAGGAATCAATAAAGGCGATATAGATAAAGTTCTTATAATATCCGAGCAGGATAGGACTCGTAGCAACGGATTTAAGTTGGATACGTTTAGGTTTAGCAGGGAGATAGGAAGGAACTGGTTCACAAATAGGGTGCTGGACGAGTGGAACAAGCTTAGCAACTTTGTAATAAGTGCTGGAACGCTGGAAAGTTTTAAAATGAGGCTAGATAGATTCATGGATGATAGAGAGTGGTAGTAACTCTCGACAGGAGCTGCAATGCACATTGCACAGGCCAACCGGCCTATTGCAGACTCCTCATTTTCTTATGTTCTTATGTTCTTATACAGTATATTCTTGAGCCTCTTACCTGCCTGCGTCTGGTGGCTTAAGATCAGTAAAACGTAGGCAGAGATGAGCCTAGAGACGTTGAGTTTACTTTCGAATGATCAATTATTATTCGACTATATACATAAATATCAATACTGAGATATGAAAATATACTTTACTTCAAGTTTGAAAATATTAACAGAAAAAAAAACAAAGGCATTAAAGGTACCCACCAGAGTCACAGGGCGTAGGTGTGCAACAGAGAGGCAGAATTAGAGCCCATGCCAGGCAGAACGTGTGGCTCACCATCAGCCGACCAGCCATCACCTTCGCTGTAGGGAGAGAAACCGAATGACTTTTAGGTGATTAAGACAATGTATTATGCTGTAGGTTATTTCGGTAACAGCTTACAACAAGATTCTGTTGGAGAGTACGCACTAGATTTCGTTTGTAATTAAGGGGAATGAATGATGAAAATTTTGTACTCAAACCTGTGAATGTAGGTTTTCTGTATAATGCTGTATCGACAGAGCCTTTAGTATATGTTCAAGCTATTTCCACCTGGACTTTGAACTAAAATATATAAAGGAACTACTTTTTAACATTGGCTTCCTTTAAGGATTTACAGATACTTATATAGGTAAAACCCTTAATAGGATTTTGGTCCCACACAGCCACACCGTCCCTAAATATTCTATCTATTTCACCATCCCGTACACAGGCCCACTCAGCTTCACAGTTAGAAACAAACTTAAGAAGCTTATCAATTAACTCTCTCCACAAATTTCTCTTACACTAGTCTTCAAAGCCCAGAGTTTAATTTAAAAAATCTTTCAAACTAAAGACACCATACCCACACACCTGCATTCCTCTGTTGTTTATCAGTTTACGTGTGCTAGCTGTAGGGCAGCATATATAGGTCAAACAAAAAGACACCTGATAACTGGCATCCATGAGCACTTGGGCCGTCCCGTCCGAATATATATATATATATATATATATATATATATATATATATATATATATATATATATATATATATATATATATATATATATATATATATATACTAGCAGAATCGCCGCCCTCCGGGCGGCTCATCCACTAGGCAACGGTAGGACGCTACCCTCCGGGAAGCTACACATTGTCTCACTGTTCAGTCCCCAAAACTTCTTCCATCAATAGTTCATTAACGGTGTATGTAAGTTCCACCATGTATTTCACTACAACGGTACAGCAAATTATATTATTTTAGCATTAAACTGTTATTATTTTATTGCCTAATCATCACTACATATAACATCGCCCATCATCACTACATATGACATCATCCATCATCACTACAGATCGGTAAAGTAGTTTCCGAGATTCTCGTGCGGACACACACGGCAGGACGCCACCCTCCGGGAGGCTCCATATTGTCTCACTGTAATGCATTAGGGTAGATCACATTTTTGGTGTTGCCATTAGCAGCAAGTATGTACAGATTTTTGGCAGTTCCCACTCTGGAGCATCCAAAATAGAACTGTCCATGAGAGAAGCAAAGAAACACAGGTTTAGTCCAACCATTTTTAGGGACTGTCCCTGGCTTTTGTAGATGGTCATGGCAAAGCTCACTTTAACCGGGAACTGAAGTCGCTTGAACTCAAATAGCAGGTCAGTGGTGATGAGAGGTATCCTTGGTATAAAAACGTCCTCTCCATTCGCTTTTCCTGTCAGTATTGTAGCTTCCAGTACATGTGGCATCATGTTCTTCACCACCAGTCTTGTGCCATTGCAGAGGATTGGTGGTTCAAGATTTCTTAAGAGCATTATAGGAGTTCCAATCTTGAGAGTGAGGTGGTGAGGAGGCATTCCAGCGGGCTCCAAAGAATTAAGGAATTCTGCAGGGTACTGGACTGCTTGGTCCTGGTCGATTACTGTATCAACAGATTTGAATGAGGTCTCACTGCCTGGAAGCTGTCTGAGTAGAGTCATGTTGATTTCAGCCACTGTTTCATTCTTTGGTGCCAGAATTGCACGTTCACGCAGCCACTTGTGATCCTTGTAGTGGTGGATAATGTTTGGGTAGACCATGTTAGTGAGCTCAGTTGAGGACTTTACAACATTTCCACATCCTTGAGGAATGATTATTTGTACTTCTGAATCAACAGGGAAAGTTCCATTTCCAATCTGTAGTAGAAGGTTTGCAAACCGTTTAGCATCCTGATCTCCTTGTAGATGTACTCTCATGTTTGTGGATAGGGTGAGTGTCTGAACACTTCGCCAAAGGTATGATGCCTTGAGGCATTCATCTCAGACTATGAGGCTGCATTTTTCTAAGAGTTTTGCCTTTGCCGATCCTTTTTTGATGTTGCACACTGGATTCTCATTGTGAGTGAGGTTGAGAGGCGACCTGGGTGTTGTAGTGACCGTGTAGTACTGGTGTTGTAATGAACATGTAGTAATATATATAAGCATAAAATTACCTATAATACATGGGATGTGATACGACTTTTCAACCTCTATGTGGTTTAACGGGTCGGGTCGGGTTGGGTGTGTCGGATCGGGTTGGTTGGAGTTTTTTTTAGATCCCCACCTGACACTGGCTATCCATGCCAAGTTTGATCCGAGCGGCTCATTCGCTAGGCCACGGTAGGACGCCACCCTCCGGGAGGCTCCACATTGTCTCACTGTTCAGTCCCCAAAACTTCTTCTTCCATCAATAGTTCATTAACGGTGTATGTAAGTTCCACTACAACGGTACAGCAAAGTATCACTAATCACTACATATAACACCATTCATCATCACTACATATAACATCATCCATCATCACTACATATAACACCATTCATCATCACTACATATAACACTATCCATTATAACTACATATAACACCATCCATCATCATTACATATAACACCATCCATCATCACTACATATAACACCATTAATCATCATTACATATAACACCATCCCTCACTACACATAACACCATTAATCATCATTACATATAACACCATCCATCATCACTACATATAACACCATTAATCATCACTACATATAACACCATCCATCATCACTATATATAAAACCATCCATCATCACTACATATAACACCATCCATCATCACTACATATAACACCATTCATCATCACTACATATCGGTAAAGTAGTTTCCGAGATTCTCGTGCGGACAAACATACACACAAACACACAAACAAACAAACATATAGCTTTCGTCTTTATTCAAGACATCTTCAGAGGCAACTAAATTACAAGGACTGAGAGAGGCTTATGTACACAGGGTGACCTTACAAAACATGATTTCAGGTCAAAATATATGACGTCCACTAATCCACACACCAACCACCACAGCAAACATAAAAGCCTATAAGAACGGGGCGACTTAACTAGTCATGTCAAGACAGGTAAAAAATACACTTGTAAACTGTTTTCCTAATCTATGGGATGATTATTCTTCCTTATATGAACGAAAAGTGAACTGCTTTCAGCTGCCGTTCTGATATTTTACTTGTGCTGTTTAATTCTGAGTTGCAATGCTTTCCCAGTCTGTCCTACATAATTCCCATTACAGTTGCTACATGGAATACAGTAAACACTTCCATTTACATTCAAGGTTAGGCTATTCTTAATTAATATATTAGTAATAGTCGAGTCATACTTAAAAACAACATTAATGTTTAATATTTTATGGGACTGAACTTACGGGACAAATTCATTGCGATAAGATGGAGTCAAAATATATTTAAATGTAGGAAATTGTCTAGTTTGAGTAGAATAAAATGATTTTTTAGCCCTTTTAAAACAATGACCAACAAACACTGAAGGGTACCTAAGTTTTTGTGCAATGGCCTGAATGTGTTGCAGTTCTTCAATAAATTCAGTGTCACAAATACGCAAGCATCTCAAAAACCCAGCAGAAAATTTTTCCTGTACTGCGTCTAGGAAGTCTTCAGATTCATAGTCACCCACAATATTGTCCCAGTCAATATTTCTGAAATTGAAATCCCCCATAATGCTCAGGTTGTTGTATTTTGCTGCCCTACTCATTTAACATAAGAACATAAGAATGGTGGAAACTGCAGCGGGCCTATTGGCCCATACTGGGCAGTCCCATTTACACCCAACCCCTATTGCTCATATAAGCATCCAACCTATGTTTGAAGCTATCCATCGTATTCGAGTTAATGATGATATTTCGTAACTTGTTCCATTCATCCACTACACTGTTTCCAAACCAGTGTTTACCTATTTCGCGCCTAAATCTAAATTTGTCTAATTTAAAACCATTGTTACGAGTTTGCTCCTGGTTGGATAGTTTGAGTACCTTTGTAATGTCCCCTTTGTTTAGCCCTGACTTCCATTTATACACCTCTATCAGGTCGCCCCTCGCTCTACGTCTCTCGAGGGAGTGCAAATTAAGATGCTTTAACCTGTCTCTATACTCAAGGTTCCAAATACCCGGGATTAGTCTTGTCATTCTCCTCTGAATTCTTTCCAAGGATTCTATATCCATTCTGTAATACGGTGACCAGAACTGAACTGCCTAATCCAGGTGTGGTCTCACAAGCCCAAGATACAGTTTTAGGATGACCTCGCTAGTCTTATAACTAACACTCCTTTGTATGAACCCAAGTACTTTATAAGCCTTGTTACGAGCAAAAACACAATGCTTACTTGGCTTAAGGTTCCTACTTATCGTTACTCCTAAATCTCTCTCGCAGTCGGATTTCTCAATGGCATCGTTGTTCATCTGGTAACTGGTTTCCCTGTTTACATCTCCTATATTGAGTGCTTTACATTTGTCCACGTTGAATTTCATCTGCCATTTTTCAGACCATTCGAAAATTTTTTTTAGATCTTCCTGTAATTTTGCGGAGTCCTCGTCAGATTTAATAACACGTCCTATTTTAGTGTCATCAGCAAATTTACTAATGTTGCTGTCTATGCCGATATCTATGTCGTTTATGTATAAAATAAATAATAATGGTCCAAGTACTGAGCCTTGGGGAACTCCACTAGTGACGTTGCTCCAATGGGATTTAGTGCCGTTAATGCTCACTCGCTGATTCCTGTCCTGTAACCATGCCCTAATCCATTTAAGGATATTGCCTTTGATGCCATGTGCTTCTACCTTTCTAATTAGTCTTTCCTGCCATATGGGGTGAGTTGCTTCTTTCCCAAGACTTGGGGGCCTGTAACTCACTCCCATAATTAGTTTTTCTCCTCCTTCCGCAATTTCTACCCATACAGACTCGGTTCCAATTTCACCTTTTATTGAATTATTAATACAACATTTTAATGTATCTCTGACGAAGAGTGCGACCCCTCCCTCCTTCTTACCTTCCCTGTCCCTGTGAAAAAGGTTGTACCCTTCTATGAGGTACTCTGATAAAAAGTTCTTGCTCGCCAGATTCATCCAAGTTTCGGTGATTGCTATGACGTCTACATTTTCGGTACATACAACCGCTCTCAGCAAGTCTATTTTATTTCTAACACTCCTACTGTTTGTATAGTGTACATTTAAACCTACACTTCCCTGGTCCTGTTTTACCCCTTGTCCTGAGTAACCAATTTTACTCCCCAGGACCTGCTTGTTTTTTTACTCCCACTTACCCCTACCTCTCTCTACTGGAGTGACAATTTCACGCTCCAGGGATGCAGACAACGTCTTTACCCCCGCGCGAGACAAGTGTACCCCGTCACGACTGTACAGGTAGTCGTTGCCATAGAATGATTGCCAGTTATCAATGAACGCCCAACCATTACTTGCACAATGTTTTTCCAGTCGGCAATTTATAGCAATTGCCCTGGACAGCAATTCGCGACCAACTCCTCTTCTAGGCAAGACACCACATACTATTGGGATCCCTCCACTATCTCTAACCTTCCCCAGCGCCTCCCTACACCTCTTGAAAAGTTCCTCACTCCTAACCTTTCTTACGTCGTTACCTCCTACACTACTGGCTTGGTACCCTCCCCTGACAAAACCCTATCTATCCTCTCAGCTACATGTCCTATCCCAGCCCCAGGAAAACACACCCTAGTCCAACGTTTCCTATCTCTTGCACAAAAAGTCCTATTTAAGAACCTCACCTGGCTGTCCCCAACTACCACGACCTTACCACTGGGCAGGGTTTGAACAACTGCATTTTCTCTCGTGGCACCACACCCTCCTCCCTCTTTTCTTTAAATAAACTGCAGGAGTGGTCAGAAAAATGGCAAATGAAATTCAACACCAGCAAGAGCAGCGTACTTAATATTGGAAAAACAAATACCATCAATGTATACAGGCTTAACAACATCAACCTAGAGAAATCGACTTGTGAAAGAGACTATGGGGTACTTGTAAGCCCGGACCTACGGCCTAGAAAACAGTGCGTTAATTTCTGAAATAAGGCAAACAGAGTATTAGGTTTTATATGTAGAAGTGTAAGTAATAAGAGTGCTGAGGTCTTATTGCAACTATATCTTGCTCTAGTCAGGCCGCACCTCGATTATGCGGTTCAGTTCTGGTGCCCTTATTATAGAATGGAATCAATTCACTAGAATCGGTGCAGCGATGAATGACGAAAATGATTCCGGGACTTTGAAACCTTCCATTTCAAGATAGGTTAATTAAACTAAACTTGCATTCCCTAGAAAGACGAAGAGTGCGGGGAGATATGATAGAAGTATTTAGGTGGGTGAAAGGAATCAATAAAGGCGATATAGACAAAGTTCTTATAATATCCGAACAGGATAGGACTCGTAGCAACGGATTTAAGTTGGATAAGTTTAGGTTTAGGAGGGAGATAGGAAGGAACTAGTTCACAAATAGGGTGGTGGACGAGTGGAGTAAGCTTAGCAACTTTGTAGTAAGTGCTGGAACGCTGGAGAGTTTTAAAAGGAGGCTAGATAGATTCATGGATGATAGAGAGTGGTAGTAACTCTCGACAGGAGCTGCCATGCACAGGCCAACCGGCCTATTGCAGACTCCTTATTTTCTTATGTTCTTATGTTCTCTACCTCGCCGGCTTCCTCCAACACCTGTTAGGGGTTACTGCACTCCACACCCTGGTCAGCTTTCCTGACTCTGACCCTAGTCCCCTTGGAAGCAACCACTCTCCACGCCTGCTCCTCCTTCGCTGGTGTCCTGCTAGGCAGGACACCTACCTGAAAGAGTTCAGCCCTAAGGGCTTCGTTCTTCACCTTTAACACGTGTATCTCTCTCCTCAACTGCTCCAGCTGACTTAACAGAGTGGCTAGAGGGTCGTCTTTCCTCACACACCGTCCCTCTTCTCCCAAAACACAACGATCCACGGCGGCCATTTCCTATGGTTTAAATACGAGCACTTAGGGGCACGTCCTTTTCCAAGCTAGGTCAGGCAGCTTGGAATGCTCTGCCTTCTTCTGTGTTTCCATACTCATACAATCTGTCTCACTTTAAAAAGCTGATTTTCCGGCATCTTTGCGGTGTACATTAATATAACCTTTACCTTTTCTATTTTTAATTTCTTCTTACTCTTATTTTTTCGCCCCCCAGGCCCCAGTGTGGGTCGTTGACCTGTGTCCGGGTGGGCTAATCCCTGTAAAAAAAAAAAAAAATAAAATAAAAATAATAATAATAATATGGATGTATGTACAGTATGTATGGATCATCTGAAGAATCGTCACCCCAGAAAGTCCACCTGAAGAATTGTCACCCCAGCCTGCTCCACCTGAAGAATCGTCACCCCAGCCCACAGTGAATATAATTTGTATAATTAGGATAACATAAATATATTCCTTTGTGTTATGCATCTTGTTACGCCGTCTCTTAATTTACTTTAATATCCAGGTTCTAGGCATATCCAAAAAAAAAAGTGAAGTAAATCAAAAGGGAATAAAAATAAATAAAGTAAACCTTTAAGAATTTAATTAAATTAAATACTAACACAATAAAGAGCCTCGTAGGCTGTCACAACAAATTGATTCACTATCGAAACTTTTAAGACACAAATGATACTAAAACATCGAAACATCAAAAGAACTGCTTAAACATATAGAATAACTAACACTGAAATTAACTATCGTGAAACAACACTGAATTACTTAAATGTAACCAAGCAAGCACTGATGGACACATAAGAGACATCAATAGGTACTCACATAGATATACCACATTGGTGGCGACAGGAACAACACAGAAATAAAATAAGTATAAGTAACAGGTGACGAGTGTCACTCAAAAGAACGTGAACTGAATGACAAGAGGACTGGACTGAACTCCTTCTGCTGGTGGGTACTATATATAAGGTCGGCTCACTCTGGTGAAACATGGGTCGTTTAACGAGGCAGATGGTCGTTAGAAAAACAAAGAATGCTTGTTACAATACTAAATGAAGAAATAAGTTGGGCTTGAACAAATAATGACAGTTAAAACCTTAACAGCACAGGGTAAGGTGAATAGATTATATAATAGTAAATATAACACATCATTACAGGAATAATATGGAACAACATTGAAGCATGTTATAAAAAATAATAAAAAAATAAGACACGGTCGTAACAATCTTTATTGTGAAAAGTTTAAAGAAAAAAAGAATAATATACACGGTGTTCCAAAATACAAAAAATTCCTCCCCCCCCCCCAAAAAAAAATCTAAGATTAAAAAAACCATGACCCACACTCTCGGAAAAACAAACAAACAAATGCTTCCAAATCTAAAACAAATGAAAAATTCTTCATTTTCAAAAAAAGAAAAGAAAAAAGTTAGGGAAGGGTTCCATGCATCATCTAGGAAAGTCACACAACCTTAAAACAACCTGACCTAACTTAACAAATCAGAAATCTGACCCCACCTGAAGAATTGCCACCAGAGGTGTTGTCACCGGAAGAATCGTCACCCCAGGATATCCCACCTGAAGAATCGTCACTCCAGGATATCCCACCTGAAGAATCGTCACTCCAGGATATCCCACCTGAAGAATCGTCACTCCAGGATATCCCACCTGAAGAATCGTCACTCCAGGATATCACCTGAAGAATCGTCACAGGATATCCCACCTGAAGAATCGTCAGGATATCCCTGAAGAATCGTCACTCCAGGATATCCCACCTGAAGAATCGTCACTCCAGGATATCCCACCTGAAGAATCGTCACTCCAGGATATCCCACCAGAAGAATCGTCAATCCAGGATATCCCACCTGAAGAATCGTCACTCCAGGATATCCCACCTGAAGAATCGTCACTCCAGGATATCCCACCTGAAGAATCGTCACTCCAGGATATCCCACCTGAAGAATCGTCACTCCAGGATATCCCACCAGAAGAATCGTCACTCCAGGATATCCCACCTGAAGAATCGTCACCCCAGGATATCCCACCTGAAGAATTGTCACCCCAGGTGTTGCCACCTGAAGAATCGTCACCCCAGAATATCCCACCTGAAGAATTGTCACCCCAGGTGTTGCCACCTGAAGAATCGTCACCCCAGAATATCCCACCTGAAGAATTGTCACCCTGCCAAACTCTGGGGTGACAATTCTTCAGGTGATCCGTATGTATGTATGTATGTATGTACTCATCCTGGACTCGTCAAGTCTGATCAAATTAATCTGAAGCATAGGTTTGATTACGTTAATTTGGTAAGACCGTTACCAAACAGAACTAACCAAACCTAGGCAGCCTCCTCTATCTCAACTAGGCCTAACCACCTGTCCTAACCAACCCATTCCTAAGTAAACCTAACCACGTAGTCTGTTTGTGGTGGTAACACAGGTGGTGGTAGTGGTGGGTGTAAGTGGTGATCATACCTCACAGGGTGTCTCAGTACAGGCCGTCCTTACCGATTATCCCAACAATGCTTTCTTGTTGTTGACTGGTGCGTCCTCTCTCTTCCCACACTTTGTTCTCTTCCTTTAGCTCCTCCCTCTCTCAGCCTATACTGACTGACTGACTGAGCAGCGTATTAGCTGTGTTATAGCCTCGTGGTCAGCAGCATGTCTCAGGGAAGACCCGGTGAAAGTAGTCAAGTGGGAAAATGTCCCGCACACGCAGGTACTCTCCGTGAAGGGGAAATCCCCCTACTCATTCCCCGGTATACGTATCTGTGTTCCCCAGATGTTTTAAGCCCGCGAAACATCGCTGCCGAAGGGCAGCATAGAATTACATTAAATAATATTCATAGTAAAGGGATGGATGTGGAGAATGTAGGAAAGAAAGTAATCGGGAAAAAAATAACGAAAAAAGTAACAGAAAAAGAACCAGGAAAAAGTAACTGCTAAAAAGTAGCAGGAAATAAAGTAACAGGAAGTAAAGTATCAATAAATAGAAGGTATCGTCAAATTACCCAATTACCTCTTTGTGCGGCAGCGTTTGGTGTAAACCAGGCCTAGGCAACCCGCGGCCCGAACCTTGTCTTTGTTGGCGGTCCGCGGAGTGATTGAGAAATTCTATTAAATATGGTCCGAGGTTGAGGTAGATGCAGTCAGGTTATGACGAGTAAAACAATATTTATTAAAAGAATAATCTTCACCACAATTCATTGCTGTTTCATCAACTAAGAGTAAATAACCACGACAATGTAACAATGAAATAAGTATAAATAATCAACAATATAAACATTTTTAACTTGTGTGAGTTTACGGGTCAAGATCAGCGAAGTCTGTTTGATGGATTAGCTGCTATGTGGCAGTGGGTCACTTGGGAATTAACTAAGGTCAAATTACCGGCCGATCAGTTTGACGTCAGTAGTGGGGAAATTTCTTGAATCAATTATAGCAGATAGCATCCGATCGCATCTAGAGAAAAGCAAGTTAATCTACGACTCTCAACATGGGTTTACAAAGGGAAAATCTTGTCTAACAAATCTGCTAACGTTTTTTAGGAAAGTCTTCGAGGTAGTAGATAATGACGAAAATTACGATGTTATTTACTTAGACTTTAGCAAAGCATTTGACAGAGTACCGCATCAGAGGCTTCTGAGAAAAATTAAGGCTCATGGTATCGAGGGGAAAGTTTTAAATTGGATAAAATCATGGCACACCGATAGAACGCAGAGGGTCAGCGTAGATGGTGTTAAATCTAAGTGGGGCCGTGTAACCAGTGGGGTTCCCCAGGGGTCAGTACTAGGCCCACTCTTGTTCATAGTCTACATAAACGATTTAGATACTGGGATCAGCAGTGACAGAAGCAAGTTTGCGGATGACACCAAAATAGGGCGGCAAATTAATTCAGGGCAGGATGCAAATGCATTACAGGAGGATCTAAATAAACTGCAGGAGTGGTCAGAAAAATGGCAAATGAAATTCAACACCAGCAAGTGCAACGTACTTAATATTGGAAGAACAAATATTTATAATATATACAGCCTTAACAACATCAACCTAGAGAAGTCGACTTGTGAAAGAGACCTAGGGGTACTTGTAAGCCCGGACCTACGGCCTAGAAAACAGTGCGTTAATGTTCGAAATAAGGCAAACAGAATATTGGGTTTTATATCTAGAAGTGTAAGTAACAAGAGTGCAGAGGTCTTATTGCAACTATATCTTGCGCTAGTTAGGCCGCACCTCGATTATGCGGTTCTGTTCTGGTGCCCCTATTATTATAGAATGGATATAAATTCACGAGAGTCGGTGCAGCGAAGAATGACAAAAATGATTCCGGGACTTAGAAACCTTCCATATCGGGATAGGTTAAAGAAACTTAACTTGCATTCCCTAGAAAGACGAAGAGTGCGGGGAGATATGATAGAAGTATTTAAGTGGGTGAAAGGAATCAATAAAGGGGATATAGATAAAGTTCTTATAATATCCGAGCAGGATAGGACTCGGAGCAACGGATCCAAGTTGGATAAATTTAGGTTTAGGAGGCAGATAGGAAGAAACTGGTTCACAAATAGGGTGGTGGACGAGTGGAACAAGCTTAGCAACTTTATAGTAAGTGCAGGAACTGGAAAGTTTCAAAAGGAGGCTAGATAGATTCATGGATGATAGAGAGTGGTAGTAACTCTCGACAGGAGCTGCCATGCACAGGCCAACCGGCCTATTGCAGACTCCTTATTTTCTTATGTTCTTATGTTGTTCTTAAGGTTGGGTAAGTCCAAGTGGGATCATGGGCGGTGGTCACAAAGGTAAAGGTCTCTTGTTGACACACTGTCTCTCTCCATAGTGCCTCACCCTTTATGACTGGCTGTCTGTTCTATCTATTTATTCTTGTCTGATTTGGTCTCTCCATAGGCATATATAATAGATTGTTTCATTGTAGTTCCTCATGCACCAAGATTAACATTGACATTATTCTGGTGGGTGCGTCTCATAAGTAAGACAAATGCTGTAACTGTAAGAAAATCAATGTATTCACAGAATGCTTCACTTATCTTCTGTTAAATGCCAAGAAACATTAACTTTTTACTTTAAAAAAATGATGAATTTGTTTCATAAATGGGAAAAAGACTTATTTTAATCTGAAAATATCGTAAGGTGGACGTGATGATAAACTGTTTCAATGTCCGTGCTAATATAATATTAACACTATTTTTGGGTAAGAAAGGAAATAAATTTTGGTGGGTTGGCCCGCAGAAAAATATCTTAATCGTAATGCGGCCCATAACTGAGGAAAGGGAGCACATGCCTGGTGTAAACAGAGCGTGACGCTGGGCGCTGGCTCCATTGTTATTTGACAGTTACATTCAGCTGCCATGGGGGTCATACAGAGTAACAAGGGCGACAGGAAGATAAGCAACCAGGGACACATGTACACACGGTCATGCAACAGGAAGACAAAGATCTGGTGGAAGTGTTCACAGAAAGGGAGTCGAGGTAAGAAATTATGTTGCCAGTATGTGCTATCAGGGGCCCGATTATCCGAGTTGACGGTATATACTTGTGTATTTCATTTTGATAATCATTTCAGGCTATAAAGGCAGTCTTAGCACTACACTGGAATTGGATAACCCAGAGCCAGGCCGGCCTCACAATCATGCTGCTGACGAGACCAATGTATAGTGCAACAAGTGTCGCAACCAGATGCAGCACCAGGCTGCCTCCTCCTTGGACAAGCCCGGCAATATCTTTGCCTAGGCAGTTACCCAACAAAACAAGGCTGTACAGAGGTGTTTTCCTTCTGAGGAGAACACCAAGTGCTCTTTCAGGTACCACAGGCGTACTCCCCCTGTGCCTGAATATCTTCGGGACTTCACCTTACCGGATGAATGGTAGAAAACCCTTGGATCTAGCCCAGAGCAGTTTCTCCTTTACGACAATGGCTCAGAAGCTAACAGTCGCATCTTCACCTTTGCTACAGATGGAAACCTTCATCGGCTGGCAGCTACAGAGACCATCTTCATGAATGGCACTTTCAAGATGGCACCAACTCAGTTCACACTGGTGTATGCACTTCGAGTCATATTCAACACAACATATGTTTCGTGTGTCAATGCTCTGATGCAGAATAAGACAGGAGCAGTGTACGCAGAGGTGTTTGATGCCATCGTCGACCACTGCACTAAGTTGGGACTTAATCTGCGGGAGCGGACTGTTGTGACAGATTTTAAAGTTGCTGTATTGCGTACATTTGGTGCCAGCTTTGGCAGAGGTACAGAGCAAGGGCTGCTTCTACCACCTAACACAGAGTACCTGAGTTAGATCCAGCAGCTTGGTCTATTACACCATTACCACTCAACCATGGAGTTTCGCTAATTATATGCTATGCTCAATGGACTCGCCTACCTGCCCGCAGTCTTGGTACCTGATGGCGTGAGTCACCTCACGAACAAGGCTGCCGAGCTGCTTACTTACTTCGATACAACCTATGTTACAGGCAGTTACAGAACCATCCAGCTTAAGAATTCACAGGGCATCACATTGCTTCATATGCCCCCAGCATGCCCCTCAGATGTCTGGAACGTTTATGAGGCAACATTAGATGGAAACTGCCGTACTAATAACGTGTGCAAGAGCTGGAACGATAAGTTTGTGAACCTTATCGGCCACAACCACCCCTCCATAAGAAAATGTATAGAGAGGTTCCAGAAGGACCCCTCCCTTGTGGAGACCATCGTGCAACAGGACTTAGTTGGTAATGCACCCAAGATTATGACCAAGAGATGCTGCACAACTCAAACTATCCAACCAGGAGCGAACTCGTAACAATGGTTTTAAATTAGACAAATTTAGATTTAGGAGTGAAATAGGTAAACACTGGTTTGGAAACAGAGTAGTGGATGAATGGAACAAGTTACCAAATATCATCATTAACTCGAATACGCTGAATAGCTTCAAACATAGGTTGGATGCTTATATGAGCAATAGGGGTTGGGTGTAAACGGGACTGCCCAGTATGGGCCAATAGGCCCACTGCAGTTTCCTCCATTCTTATGTTCTTATGTTAACTGCAGAAACGGCTCCGACGTCTTTGGCAGGAGAGGGCGGAGGGAAGAATAACCATCCCCTGTTGGCCACCTGAGGCGACTACTAGAATAATGTAATAATGTGTATTTTATCAATAAAGTGCTTGTATATATGTTGCTATTCATATTTTATTTCATGTATATACTGTTACTTTTTTCCAGTAAATTGATACAAACACTGATACTTTTATTCCTGAAGCTTTTTTCTCGCAAACTTTGCTATTTTTTCGGTTACTTCTTTTCTTGTCACTTTCTTTCCGATCACCGGATGTGACAACTACACCTCAGTCTTCTCTCCCTGTGTTTGTTATTTGTTCAAAGAAAGTGGAGTAAACAGGGGACGTGAAGAACATGAACTGTCCGTACGTGATCTTAGGTAAGGGAGGATCAGTAAGTCCAGTTTACAAAACATGGGAGGACAGTTTGCATAAAGGGTGAAGACTTAATAAATAAGAGAGGTTTATTTCAGGCGCAGGGCACAAAAAAGGGGTCAGTTAACATTGCAGAGGAAGACAGTTAACATTGCAGAGGAAGACAGTTAACATTGCAGAGGATGACA